AACCTTGCCATTTAATTGATATATTGAAATCAAGTTGGTAATATGTAGGAAGTTATTAAGTACTATTTGCTCTGATGAACTCAGTCTATTTCTATTGTAGTATGCATATAGAAATAGCAATGACACATAGACTTATATACTGTCCCCTAGTGCTTTACAGCACTTTCAGAGTGCTGTTTACAGAGTCAGCATATTGCCCCCAACACTCTGGGTTCTCATTTTACCAACCTCAGAAGGATGAAAGCTGAGTAAACTTTGAGTCAGTCAGCACTGAACTCCAGACTATGGATAGAGTCAGCCTGCAATACTACATTCTAACCACTGTTCCAACATGGTATATGATATGTTTATCAAAAATTCAGGCCTTTTAGCTGTTATGAAAGATTTTGAACATTTTGTTCAAAATCCCCCTTGGATCCGGCCTTGAGTTTGATACTCCTGATTTAAGGAATTAGGCCCTAAAAGGTAGTCTGGAAGACTAATAATCCTTCCGGTCTTCCTATCCTACAACCCAGTTTGTAGATCCAAGCCCATGTAAATGATTTTCCCTTTACATTGAAGATTAAATAACAGTATTGTGCAGGAGCACCAGGTTTCTTTGGAATCATGTTACTTATATAACTCTATTTAACTATAACCAATGAAACTTGAGCATCATTATGAATTAATAAAGATGAGTGAAGTCTTTTTGTTACATAAAAGAAAAAGCTGTTAAAAACAAGATCTGTTTGACCTCATGTCCTAATGCGTCAAACTTTGACTGGTTTGCTTACTTACAATTTGAATCTCTGCTTTTACTTTGAATATGCTCCTCGGCTAATCCTTTACTGCCATTGTTTTCTATATAGAATATCTGATGCATGCATTAAACTTTGACTCTCTTGGAATAACTATACTGACCTTGGTATAACTTTACTGACCTTGGTCTAATTGACTATAATTCCATATTTGAATAATTTCAAGATAAAAGTTAACTTGGTGTCAAGATTTATAGGCTTCTGGAGTTCTTAGAAGAATTGTTTCATTTTTCTTGAAACTGTTCCACTGCATTTTGAAAACAATTATTACATTTTATTTAAAAAAATCAAGATATATTGTTTGGCTTAGCTAAAAAAAAAGTCACATGGCTAGCACAGTAAAAACTCATCTACCCATAAAATAATTTTATAACAACCTTTTTCAGATTAAGCAGTTTAAAGTGATTTCTAACATTGATCAGTATAAAGTAGTTGTTTTTCCTTCAACAGCATAGACAAGTAGAAAAATGTAATGAACATTTATTTTCCTGCCTTACTGCCTTTCCACTGTACAAAGGGATGTTATTTTCTTTTTCTTACCGATAACGTTGAAACAAACAACACTAAAATTCCAATCACTGTGTGTTTGTTTATCAAATAATGTTAATATTTAGCATGCAACAAAAATGCAAAATCAAATATTATTTTTCAAGAGCAAGCTGGAATACATGTCAAAAAGTGCACATATTTTTAAACTCGCACATTGCATAAATATGCTCTGTAATATATTCATTATTCAATTATCAAGGTTCTCCATTACAGTTGACTGCCATTCTTAACTTGGCCTTAAAAAATGTAAATAAACTATTCAGCAGCATGTTAGTTACTCACTTTACTGTTGTGCTAAGCCCATTTCCTTACATCCCATACTGCATGCACATCATGAAGAACACACATTGTTAATTATGTATGCTCTCATTTTGAATAGTGTTACTGGGCATTCAGGAATGTTTACAGAGAAAAATGAAGTCTGAGGCCAGTTTTCAGTTTCAGCCTTGCATCACATATGGAGCTCAATCAATGGGCACATTCTTTTGAAGTACAAAACAGTGACTTAGCTGGTTAGAAAACTTCCACTTTCACAGATCTGTTATTAAGCTTCCCAACTGCTAAACATTTACTGTCAAAGCGCTAGTCTTGTATCTCGCTTAACCAATATTGAGGAAATAAGCAATCTTGATAGTTTTGAAATTGAAAAAGAAAAGGGGTGAAATTGTATTTTATCTATTTCATATATTTGTTAACCACCCAATGACCTTGATTCTCTTATAAATTAAAAATATAGAACACAAAGGAGTAAGTGATGGTAAAATGACTGATACAAAACAGATAAAACCAGCAACCATACAATTCAAACACAGAAGGAAAGTAAGTTGGAAAACAGAAAAATCATGTGTGTTTGAAGGATGTCCCACTAGAGGCAATGTAATATATCTAAAGACAATTGATACAATTTAAAATATTTAAATCCTATTTGTTCGTCTAACAAGTATTATAAAAATTAAAAGTATGACAAAAAAAATTCAATCATAAACAAAGTATACTGTGCACCTACTAACCCTAATCCTATTAAGACTATCACAGAGCATAGTTATACTTCTTGAAGGGTTTCAGAAAAAGGAATAAAAATGACAATCAGGATCAGACAAGATAATCAATATGTTTTTTGATGTTTCTCTTAAAAATTCCATTACATGACAGAGTCATATCAAACTATTCTACCACCAATAAAATATCATACCTTAAGTTTGTGGATAAGTTATCTGTTATCCTAAACAGATAGTTTAATTTGCTTCAAAGTTCACCACGTAAGTTTAACTTGTCGAATATTTTGAACTCCAACAAAGTTGAAAGATTTCATTCAGACAAATGAATGAAATGTATAATCAACGAAATATGAAAACAATGCTGCCTATCATTAGTACAAATTACTATATCGAAGGAAATAAAAGGATTACTTTTGTTTTATTATTTTATTTCTTTTTGTGAATTCCTCTATGCTCATGAAGGCCTCATGAAGGTAAATGAGTAAATCTTATTTACATTCTAGAGCAAAAAGTAACCCTGCTGTTACTCTGGTGTCCCGATAGATGGGATCACTGATCCTCCTCCTCTCAAAAATAGCCAAGAAACTATTTCTAGAAGTTCATTACTGATGTTATCCACGCATCACAATTTAAGAAAACAAGATACATCCTCTCTTTTTGTACATGCACCAGTGAGAAAGGTGAATCAGAGAACATTCTATTATATCCATGTTGAATACAATTCTTGTGAACTGTTGTTTATTTATCCTGTTTATGTTATTAGCTATAGCTATCAGGGCTGCAATAAAGCATTACATTGTGAAATGAACTTTTAGCCAAGCATTTTTCTATTCTATCTCCACTATTTATCCCACTCATATTTTATTGGCCTATTTCAGTCACCCGAGAGATTTCTCTAAACATTTTGTTGTTACAATGCACTTCTGCTAATACTCCTTGTACCTGAAGATTGCAGAATAGAAGCCATTAACAGCTCTAATAAAGTAAATACTATAGGACTTAATCATGTCTGAGACAAGTAAACAACACCAGAGGCTTTTGTAACTGTGCAAATCCGAGACCTACAAAAGATTCTCTTTTAGGGCAGGATGGGAAAGTGTTATGGAATGTCAAACCATCAAATCTAATTAACTGGTTTATTGATACTGGTCAAGTGTTTGAAGACTAGTGAGCCTGCCAAGCTCTTGTTGGGGAAAATCAAATTACAGACAGCTAGCCTTTAATTTGTAAAACAAGACATTCTGTCAGTCAGTCTATCCTTGCTATTTTTGTTGTCCATACAGATCACAAAAAGGGCAGCTTTGTAAACAAGACAGTGTACCGTCACTCAGTAAAAAAAAAAAAAAAACTATACAGATTTTGTATGCTGCATTGTCCTTCAGAGCCACTTCACATATTCAAAGTAATGACAGTGACATTGGTAACATAATAAAAAAACAGATTGATGCACATGGACATTGTTTAGTTTAAATTTCATGATCGGATGATGGAAAAAAAACCTCTGCATTAAACTAATCAAATGACAAATTATTAATGAAACAAAGGGTGCTGGCCCAACTTTTCTGGAAAATAAAATTCTTACTGAATGGAAGAAAAAACTGCATGAACTTCTGGATTGGGGCATAAAAGGAAAGGTACTACAGTGCCTCTTTTTTTCTCTCAAAACAAAGTTATATTAAGAAAAGAAAAGTCTTATAAGAAGACAGTGAAAATTGGAAAGCCAGAGATAAATTGGTAAAATGTGGGCAAGTTAACCTAGAATAGCTGAAAGAGTAATCACATCCATTATTTGGGGTTATTTATGGGACCGGCTTTGATGGGCAAAACCTGCTTCATGATGAATCAAATGAAACAAACGAACTGCTAAAAAGTTATGATATTTATGTAGTTGCTTACCAAGCACATTTAAATAATATTAAACTAACCAAAATATCTTTACAATCCCCAAGACATGTCACAATTTTTGAGCACCCCTAATGTTTGGAAATTGAAATTGAAAATTGAAAAATTTGACAAGCCCTAGAATCATATGGGCATTTTGGACTTACAAAGGCATCCTTCCCTAGTCCATCTCCATCTCCAATAACATCATGCCAAAAGACAACGATTTCATTTTACCACTTGGAAGATCACAACTTTACACAACAATGGCACAGGTGTATGTAGGTGTGACTCCCCATCTTTCCCTGCAACACGCAGAAAATCAGTGTCAGAACACACGAAGGGGGGGGTGTTAAGTTGTTCAGAGACTTTTCTGAACCCTCCCCTCCCCACGTTCACCTACCAGAGATTTCGCGTGTACAGCCAACTAACCCTCACCCACCCCCACCCCACCATCCAGACATACCTGGGGCGTCCCACAATCACCTGAACAGGTTTAAGTTCTCTAACACGCTCTAACACCCGTCTGGCCACGCTTCGGGGGAGGGGGACATCCTTCGTTTTTGAAGTGTAGCTCTCTTAGGTTATCTATATATTATTTTGCATCCGATGACTTTACGAACTCTTAACGGGGCGAACTAAATCGCCACCTCCCCACCGCAAAGTCTTCGGCGCCCCCCCCCCCGCAGTCTTTCTCCCCGCCCGAAAAAGTCCTCGACAAATCGCATCCCCGAAATAAGGCACCTGCCCCTCTCCCGCTTCTTACATCCCTCACCTTCTAAGCTGAGCTGTCGGGGCGGCGGACCGGGTGGGGGGTGTCTCTCCGGGAAGATCTTCCGCCGCGCCCGCCGACTTAATTTTTCCTCCTTTCCTACCGCGCTTTCTTGGAAAGCGCCATCGTTTGCTCTGGTTTGTCCGAGCTGAAGACAGCGAAGTCTCTCAAGTTGGCCCGAGTCGAAATGCCGGCGAAGCTCCGAAGACGAGACTGCTGAGCTGCTCCCGTCCCACGGAGTTCTTCTGCCCCCGCTCTGTGGGACAAGGCGCGGGGGACTAGGGCTGGTGAGGGGGGAAATGGATCGCCTCAGAAGCGCCAAGCAGCGCCTCCTGCTGCCTTTGTGCCTCGTCGGAAGCGCTTCTTCTCGGGGATTCGCTGCAAGGCGCTCTTCAGCTACCCAGCCGGGCCGGCCAGTAAAGGGCAAACGTAGTTTGCTGACAGCAACTGCTCTCGGCAAACTTGGAGCGGCGAAACTCCGGTTCAGAGATGGTGTGTGAGGAGTGAGTGGGACGTCTGCGGATTCCTCGCCTGGGCTAGCAAACAGGTGCCCGCCGTCCAAGAGCGTGAAGCAAAGGGACATTTCATTCTCCTCCCAGTCCAGGCAGAGACGCACGAGCCGAGCGGCAGGATTCCGTTCCACACGATTTGGGATCGCATGAAGAAAGGAAGGAAGGAAGGAAGGAAGGAAGGAAGGAAGGAAGGAAGGAAGGAAGGAAGGAAGGAAGGAAAGAAAGAAAGAAAGAAAGAAAGAAAGAAAGAAAGAAAGAAAGAAACTGTATAAAATATAGCAATTCAGTTCAAAACTGTATAAAAATTAGCAATTCAAGCATCTTCCGTCTATTTATACATACTTGTCGGCTGGCGTTATTTATGGATGCCAAAAAAAAAAATCAATGTAATTTATTAAATTTTACAATAAAGTGTATAATTCTTCTCTCAGAGACACAACATCAAGCATTATGGCATTTGTTCCAGAACAGCTATGGGAGGCACTGGGTCCTGCTTAGACAACAATCAGTTTGGCCTAGTAGTTAAAGATCTAAACACCAGAGACTGTGAGGCAACCACCAAGAATGTTCCAAACGATCAGATCTAAGGATGTGTTCTCAGGACTTTATGTTCCGCTACCTTGGTTTTAGATCCATGTCTCACCTGGCTGGCTAAGGCTACCTGGAGATGACATATGATAAGTTTTGGATACAGCCCAGATAACCAAGTTAAGATGCAACTTTAGTCAGTTTGATGGGACTTGCATGGAAATCCAAAAACCAATTTTGAAGTGAACTGGAATGATTTTATCCACAAGATGCCTGCTATACTCCTCATTATGTTTTTGAAAGTGGCTCTAAACCCTAATTCCACAGGAAGAAACAAGGCCTCCTGGCTATCTCTTAATATGGACTCTAAAATGTGTTCAGCTCTATGATGGATTCACTCTATGTTGCTCCTATGTCATCAGCCCTTCACAGTAGAAAAGATCAGGAAACAGACTCCATAGAAAGTCTGCAACTATGTTATAATAGCAGAATCTTGCAAGCCTGCTTGTATTTTAACTTCCTTTCCCCCCCTACACCACAGTGTAAAAAAAAAGTGACTCTCTTCTGAATATTATCTTGTTTCCCAGGACCCAAGGAATGCTTCAGATAAGAGTTATTCAGTGACTCTTACCTATTTACCTAAAAATCACCTTCCTGATGCTGTAAGGCTCTTTTGGCATCTCTTATCTTCATCTCCCTAAGCACCTTCATAAATTGAGGGGAGACCTGGGATCTACTGGAGAAGGGAGACCACATGAGCAAGATGTGATCCAAGCCCTCAGGAGCAACAACAGGTTCCCTCTGGAATCCTATTGACAATGGATATCTTGTTAAGAGATCTGAAAGACCTGGTTGGAGACAGATGATCCTGCAGAAGATCTATTAGCTGCCATCATGTAGTTACTGGGTGTCAGTACTTATTTGATGTCAGATAATCAATTCTTGAGGAAATACACATAGATGCATTCAACCTGTTCAGAAGTTTCAATGCATAGCAGAAGTCCCCAACCCATAATTTCACTGATATGGGACAATCCTCACTGTGCTCATAGTTGCGAAGACAACTATGCAAGCAGTGAGGATTGTCCCATATTTGCCATGTCAAATAAAAAGTGTGTACCTTGTTTTTCCATAAACATGAACGTGATTGAGTATTTCTATACTCAAAAGTTTGTATCCCTTTGATTCTGTGTGGAGGCTGTGATCTATATTAAAAAGAAAACATTCTATGTATCACAAACATATGTCTAAATATACATCTAAAAGGCAATGTGTTTGCAAAAAAAGAAAGCTCATTGCTTTGCAAAAATCTTTTAGTAGCCTGGTCATGAATACAGAGAAATACAACCATGAATATATAATTAATAATGAACTTTCAAGTTGCGAAATTTTGCCAATACAAATAAATATGCATATGCGGTATGCTGGAAACTAATTCTCTCCCACCCTCTCCTGACACACACAAATACACCCCACACTTCCGAAGACCTGGGCTGGAGTTGCAGATAGGAGCAGCACAATTGTTAATCCACACAAGCAATAGTATTGCAGCAAAACCTGACAAGTCCAGCAAACCCTGGGCTGCAGTGGGAGAAATGGGAATGAGCCAGTTTCCAGTGCATTTATGTGGCATGCCACATGCCAATCCCCTCCTGCTACCATTCAAAGCCCTCTGGATCACTATTCATGCAAAGTAAGAACTGCACTGCACTGTGAATATTTTTTATGCTTGTTGGACTTGCAAACAAAACGGACTTAGGAACAGTCTCTTAGAATGTAACCCATTTGTAAAAAGGGGACTCTCTGTACATTGAAACTGACACAATATGAATTCGATGGGAATTCACTGACATTCCTTCTTGAATAAGTATATTTAAGCTCAGTGGTGAAATCCAAATTTTTTTACTACCGGTTCTGTGGGCATGGCTTGGTGGGCGTGGTGTGGCTTGGTGGGTATGGTTTGGTGGGCATGGCAGGGAAAGGATACTGCAAAATCTCCATTCCCACCCCACTCTGGGGCCAGCCAGAGGTGGTATTTGCCGGTTCTCCAAACTGCTCAAAATTTCCACTGCTGATTCTCCGAACTGCTCAAAATTTCCGCTACCAGTTCTCCAGAACCTGTCAGAACCCGCTGGATTTCACCCCTGTTTATGCTTGTACTGTTCGGAGCACATGTAGAAATTTATTTGAAAACAGAGCCATCTGCTGTTTATAATAGTCTCCTGCCAGTTGCAGCCTTATTTTCTTGTCCATTGTAGTAACAAAGAACGGAATAAATTCATTATTTTATAAAATTAATTATTTTAAATTAATTACTGAATCTAATTAGAATATTTGCTAATGATTTACAGGTAGTCCTTCACCTATGACCATTTGATCAGGAACTGTTCTAAGTGCTGAACACACTCTTGCAGTCTCACACACCCATCCCAACCCCTCTCCCACCCTTGCAATCCTCCCTATGCTATGCCATGCCATGCTGCTTGTGCAGCCTCCCTAAACTTCTTCATCCTTCTGCATACTCAGGCACTCTCTCCAGCCCCTCTCCACATCTTTGCACCCACATCCTTTCTCATCCAGCAGCAGCCATCTACAGCATCTGCAAGCCTGCAACTTGTAATTTCCTGCTAGCATATCCCACTGATATTGGTTTTGGGAAGCCAGCAGAATGTTGCCTTGCCTAATAACCATAGGATTCAGGTAACAGAGCAACCAGGACCAAAGGCATAGCTGTCACTATGTGATATAATCATGCTTTATAATCACCTCACTTAGTGAGGGAAATTCCAGTCCCTATTACCATCATATGTCTAGGATGACCTGCAATTTCTAGAATACAGGAGGCAGAGAAAGAGAGAATAAGAATGAGAATATTAAATGTTATGAGAATATTAAATGTTTACTAAGTCTGCACTATTATTAATAAGTGCATAAATGCACAAGCGTGCCTACCGTCCCTGTCCTTTTTACTTACTCTTTTCATGTATTCAAATTATGTTTATACTTTTACCTGTTATCTTATATATATGCTTGACAAATAAACTTATGATGAGGATGATCATTCCTATCACCCATCTCCTTCCATTAATGACTATATGACTGTAACTTTGTTGCTTATATCCTTATGATTAATATTGTCTGTTTTCTAATATGATTTGATTGCTTATTTGTACCCTATGACTATCATTAAGTGTTGTACCTTATGATTCTTGATGAATGTATCTTTTCTTTTATGTACACTGAGAGCATATGCACCAAGACAAATTCCTTGTGTGTCCAATCAATTGACCAATTATTACTTGGCCAATAAAATTCTATTCTATTCTATTCTATTCTATTCTATTCTATTCTATTCTATTCTATTCTATTCTATTCTATCTATTCTATTCTATGAGAGCTCAGAGAATATTGTTTTTTGTGATTGTAGACAAATACAACAGTGTAATGGTTATGACTGAAAAGACTCAGACTCTAATCCATTCTTAAACCATGGGAATTTATTTGTTTGACAAGCAGTTGTTTTTCCAGAGATAAAATGGATACCCTCATGTAAGATGCCTTAAATTCTTAAAGGAGAGGTGATATATAAATCCAACAATTTTTTCCATAAAAATTCATATGAAAGCATTACTGGAGCAACATAACTGTTTCTATACAGAATATGCAGAGGTGAAATGCCCACGGTTTGGACTGGATCGCCCAATCTGGTAGCGATGGCAGTACAATGACTACTTCTGCTAAATAAATTTTCCAGATCAAATTTAAAATCCTAACAATTAAGGAGAAACACATAACCTATTTCAACTTCATATCCTGCTTTGTATCAGAATGATTTGGAAACTCCCACAATGTTGTGGTTTTGAGTTTATTTTTTCAACCCTGTCTTTTGTCTAAGTTGCTCAAGGTGAAATAAGTGTTCTTTTAACTCAAAATGTAAAACATGTATCTGGGCTGCAAATCACTTGTCCCTTGTTTCTGTATTGGCAAAATATTGATTGTAAATTCGATTGGCTCTGAATTAGTGTTTGAAATATGAGTTCAGTTGATGCAGTCTGACTTTAGTTTCATTTTTAATACTGTCTTAATGTTTACTAATATTTAAATATTATATTTAAATAATATTTTAAAAAGCAGTCCAGTAGATTACTTCTTTTTTCTTAAATACTCATATTGCTCACAATATCAATTAAATTGTGTTTAAAAAAACCACAGTAAATATTAAATATTAAACACAATATTAAACACAATTGTGTTTTAAAAAACACAGTAAAACCCATATTCAGTTGTGTGAAAATGAATTATTCTGAAAGAAGGGAGTGTCTGCATCATTATGATCCAAAGTAATAATCTTTCACCTTGTCCATATTATAAGGAGTACATGGAAGAAAATGACATTCCTGATATATAATGCTGAATATTCATTTAGCGATGCAAATCAAAAGAGAACACAGTAATTATTTTTATGATGAAACGTCAAGGTTTATG